GAAGTTGCAGAATTACAAAGGTACACGTTGCTTATTATTGTCTTTCTGTTGTACCGGCAAGTTACCGTGAGTTCATCAAATTCTTTCTCGGGTTACAACTTAAATATATCCATTGATTTCTTGAAAAATATTGCACTATGGAAGTAGTGTTTCACAATCACCCCCTATATGCTGATGAAAAACTCTTGCTCTATTCCAATTTTTTTTTTTTTTCTAATTTATAATACTAATTATAAACTCTATTTCAACTTTCAACCAAATCCAGATCTATTTCAGATCCTATTAAGTTTGCAGGATCAAACTCCTTAATTGCATATTATCTTGAGGCAATTTTAGTTCATCTGTAATAGAAAACAATTATTTGGCTATATATTCTACTCAGTTTGCTTTTTGTTTAGAAATTTATTATTAGGTAATCTTTTTCCCATGAAGTGATTGTGATATGGATAATAGCTGTACGTAGAAAATTTCTGATAATTTAGCTGACTTCCATCCTTTTACGTTTCCTTCTCTCATAGCAGAAAATCATAAGGAACCGGGAGAGGAAGTTTATTCAAAGAAATAAATTAGGACGGGCAGAAGATTCAATATCTTCCCCAGCTTGGAACAGTTCATTAAATATTTCAATTTTTTTTGCCCAATTATGAAAAAGTACACAAGATGACTACAAGAGAAGTAGATTTCAACACAAAACCGGAGAGCAGCACGGGCGATGATGGCAAAATTTCTTCATCCAGTCCAACATCTTGGTCCAGGTTAAAGGATCCACGAATTGTACGAGTATCACGAGCATTTGGAGGAAAAGATAGGCATAGCAAAGTCTGTACTGTAAGGGGCCTCAGAGACCGGCGCGTAAGGCTTTCTGTTCCTACTGCAATACAATTATACGATCTTCAAGATCGGTTAGGGCTCAATCAGCCAAGCAAGGTGGTTGATTGGTTGCTTAATGCTGCAAAGAATGAAATTGATGAACTTCCTCCTCTTCAAATCCCTCCAGGGTGCTTTAGCCAAAACCTTCATCCAATGCTAAATTCTCATGAATTTAGACCTCCTCAATCTGGTAGAGAAGTCCTAAAGACGAGCAGCGGTATCAACTGGAACGAACCCTTAAAACAATCCCGAAGAGATCTATGGGGGGACAAGTCTAAGGATGTTTCTGGAGAAACAACTATGGCAAGAAGTGAAGAAGAAAAACAATGTAACCTCGAGAGCGAAGAAGCATATGTTTCTGCAAACAATCTTTTTCCGAGGCCCTGTCAATCTTCTCTCCCAGGTGTGCTAAACAATGCAATGCCATATAATCCTTTTCTCAGATGGGATCCTTCGAATTTGTCGTTATCGCATTCGCGAAGTGCTGGATTGACAGTCCAACCAGAAGATTTCCACAACTTCAACCTTGTGCCATTGCCTTCTTCAGCGGTGTCTGTCCCATCAGGTTCTCACCAGGTTCTTGTTTATCAACCTAGAATGACACAATCTTATTTTCCTTCTCCAGAAGAATTTGATCCAAAACATGTTGACTTTCAGATGTTGAATCCCAGTTCCCAATTATCAAATTCCCTTACTTCACCAGTTCACTCCACAACTGAACCTGTTAGACCATTCCATTTCAGCATGACAGCTAGTCTTCTCCCTACCCAAAACAATGGTGGAAGGGAGCCAAACAAACCTGACGAATTCAATGACCCCGTCTAAGATTTCTGCATTTTTTTGATTGATGAAATTTACATTCTTAGAATCGATCAAAGTTCTACTTCTCCACAGCATGCTCTTCATCATAATTGTGATTTTATGGATGATTTCGTGAATCAGCTTCATTGAGCGCTTCTAGGAAATGACAAACTCAGGCCAGTTACACCCCATGATGTGAATGTATGTTACTATACTGGAAGATGACTATATAAGGTTTTGTTGCTATAGTTTATATTTATTGCCCTAAAGGATCGTTGATCATAGTGAGAAGTTTGACATTAAGATTGTTTTGGTATAATTCTACATATATGTTGTTCCCTATTTTGGCTCTAGTAATTCTACATATATGTGTTTTCCGATAAATAATTTCTTCAAAATTGCTTTGAATTATACAAGCAAAATTTGATTTTTCCGGTGCATAATTAAATTTGACCATGAAATGTCTTAAACGCCAGAGATTTTTCTTCGTGCTCGTACTTCCTTGCTCTTTAATCTCTGACTTAACATACCCCTTGACGTCTTGATATATACCTCGTAGATCCAGGATATATAGCCCAGAATAATGGTCTAATACCAGAAATTCTTGAATCATGAAGCCCTAGAACAGTTCTTGGCTCAAACTGAATTTTTCTAGATTCATTTTCATCGTCAGAATGTTTCATTAACAAAGATCGAAGTAGGGTTGATTAGGAAGCTGCTGCTTATAGTCAGTAGAAGATAAATAAAAAAAATAAGGGCATTAGTGTCTGTTCTTGAATGAATGAGACAGTTACAGTATCGTCAACTTCACTTAAGATCCAACAAAATAATAGTCGATAAAGGAGGAGGAAATTAAACGTAATCTGAAAGGGTTGCTTGAAAGTGGGCATCAAAAATGAAAAGATAGTGGGTGGTCCTAAAATCAAGAAAAGGATTGGAGGGACAAAGTAATTAGGGTTTGGAAGCTGTGGTCTTTATTGTCATAGTGAGTGTGCGTGGAAGGAGGACCACTGCAATTTTTTTCTAGGAGGGTCCCTAGTGATGAATCCATGACTCGGATTAAATGGAGGCCTAACTTAGGGCAGGGCGAAAGATTATGAACCTAAATAGATGGTTAAATACGAAAAAAATCTTCAAATAGAAAATAATAAAATTATTATAATTTAAAAGT